CTTGGGTTTGACTGTCGTCCCTCCCTGCAGGCTGGGGGCAGAGGTCCCTGGGGCTCTCCTTTATGGGCTAGAGTCACTGTAACTCACCACCAAGGTATGTGGTGACCCCAAAGTGCTTGTGGCTGGTACTCTAGCTGTCCCTATGTATCCCTGCACTCTGGGAGTTTTTTGGTTTTTATAACAGAACTTTATTGAGATATTATACAGGTAGAGTAAAATGCACGGATCTAGTTTGCTGGATAAGTTTTTACCTATGTAAAACAGCTTCATGACCAGCATCCAGATCAAGCTCAAAACCTGCCAACCCCAGAAGGCTTCTGAGGCCCCTCCAAGGGAAATCGCTATTCTGACCTGTGAGCACAACACATGCTAACGTGTGTCTGACTTCTTCTGCTCAACTGTGAGCTTCATTGATGTTGTTTCCTGTGTCTGTGGCTCATATTCCATCATATGAATACTGCAATTAGCTTCTTCTTTTCCTTGGTGGTGAACATTTGTGTTGTTTCCAGTAGGGGGCTCTGGTGAGTCAAGCTGGTATGAACATGTGTATGTGTCTTTACCTCTCTGGGGTAAATATCTAGGAGTAGAATAGCCAGGACAAGGATAAGTAGATATTTGAACTTACCGCAATCCACCAAGAAGTTTCCAAAGTTATATTATTTTACATTCCAACCAGGTAGTGAATGGGAGTTCCATATCCCAATGATAACATTGTCCCTGTGGTCCCTGGTGTCAGCAAGGATTGCAAAGAATTTCCCCCCTGTTCCCTCCTTTCTGCTCCAGCTGTGCCTTCTGCCCCTTAAATCCAGTCAAATTCTGGGGGATCCAGGAATATGGTGGGGATGGAGGGTAAGTAGGGGGGCCTTTTGGCTTCAGTCTATGGGAGCACCTCAGAGAAGTCAGTCTTTGCAAATTCTGGTGCATCGAGTGAAGGGTAAGAAGGAAGAGGGGTGCAGACAGATGTGCGGCTCTGGGGCGCCTTCTACCCACTGGGGCCTGAATGACCCTGAACTTCTCATCCCTGGCTTTACCCCTGGGCCTCTCCCTAGCTCACTGCAGTGACCTGCTTGATATCACTGTTCCCAACCCACCCCCACTGCCCCGACCCAGCCTCTCCTGCTCGACTCTCTCATCAATCATGTCCCTTAACCAGGTGCTAGAGCCAATGAAGGACAGTTTATTTAATATGTCTCCCCTATCCCATATCACTTGGGATGTTCTCTTATGTCCAAGACTTCTCCTGTCTCAATTCTGAAGCCCAGACAAGGTGAGGGAAGAGACGAGAAAAAGGAAATGAGTTCATACAGAGGGCGCAGAAGCTCCCAGGGCACCACAATACTCCTGGACAACAATCTCCATTATGATGCTTTCTCTTTGCAAAACATTTCTTCCTAATGATTATGTTTTTATACAAAGAATAGAATTGAAAAGGGAGACATACTTTTTTGAGAACCTAAGTATCCTCATATAGCTCAGGCTGCCACATGTGAGCTGTGTGACCTTGAGTATGACCCTTAGATTCTCTGAGCATTGGTTACTCTGTGTGTAAAATGGATATAACCAGGCCTTCTCACCACCACCACCACCCCGAGCACAGGCATGTGCAGCTACACAGGCCCTGTCCAAAATCCCCAATGTTTTCGGAACGCTGACTGAGCATCCTCAGGAGACAGTTACATACTAATGGGCAGAATCGTCTAGAAACTCACTGTCATGTCAGTGTGGTCAGGTTCTTTGAACTTCTATGAGCCAGATATGATTCAGTCTCAGGGGTGCAACGCAGGAGGAGAGAGGAGGAAGGGTCACTGGGGTGGGGAATTTCCACTTCCCTCTCTCCAGGTCCCCCCTCGCCCCTCCTGTCCCAGGACTCAACCTTTATCTCTCTAGATCCGCTTCCTCTTGCTCCTGGCTCCCTCCCATTGAATAACTGCCAAATCGCAATCACATTTATATCTCTGTGGAGTCCTCCCCAGTGCAGAGAACTGTCCAGCTGGTGTGAAAAGCAGTGGTGGCCACAGAGGAGGCGGAGAGATGGTCTTCACCTGTGCCCAGCCTCCCTACCTAAACCCAGTGAGTGCTGGGCTGTGGGTGTGGGGCAGTGCTGGCCCGGGGAAAGCAGCTCTGGGGTTCTGAGGAAAAGACTCTTGGGAGGCAGGAGGTGGGTGAGGGGGCATCTAAAGAGAACACAAGAAGGGCAGGAACGCCAGATGGGGCGATCCTGACACAGCCTCTGCTCCACGCTGGTCTCCCCTGTGCCTCTAAGGACTGGAGGATGATGAGCATTGGGACTCAAGCATGTGACAAAGGGTTCCTGAGTTCCCTCTGGGGGCCTGGTCCTATTGCTGGTGGAGGGGGTAGAAGACAGGCGTGAGTACTGACGAGAAGAGTGATGCTTTGTTTGCATGAAGAGCAGTAAACAGGACTTCTGGGGAGGGTGACAACACAGCATGGCAGTCGAGGGCACTTACTTTGGAGCTGGCCTTCCTGGGTTCAGACACCGACTAGCTGGATGACCTCAGGCAAGTTCCTTTGACCTCTGTGGGCCTCAGTTTCCATGTCCGTAGAATGGGGTGACCCTGTCCCCCTCCCAGGGTTGGATAGAGGGAGGCAGCATCTCTAGGGTGCCTACATGTGCCCGGCACACACGGGGCTTCGGAAAGGCTCAGTATTGGCAGGAGTCTGAGCACAGCACGGAAGGCCCCCAAGGAGCTGGTCCTCCCTGAGGTGAGGTAATGATGCCAGGGCGGGTCCAGGGTGTCTGCAGAGAGGCCGTCTCGGGAGTGAGAGGAGTGGGACTGTCCCTGCAGTGTGGGGCACAGAGGGCGGCCTTTTGCACCTTTGTGTCAACTGTGTGGAGGCCCTGTCTGCAGGTGGCCTCATTTCAACCCCGTGAGGCTTGTCATCCCCACATCACACAGGGAAGAACTGCGGCTCAGAGAGGTTGGGGCCACTGGACACAGGTCCCGATGGTAAGAGGCAGAGAAAGAAGGTGCCTTGATTCACCCCAGAGGAGAGAGGTGCCTGCAGAGAGTGATAATGGGGAAGGCAGGCAGGCGGCAGGGCCTCTGGGACAGAATGTGTCCCCCAGGGTGTGTTCTCCATCAGATGGGGACCCTGGAGACTAGGCCAGGCCCTGCAACTGTATCATTCTGCTGACTGGTTTTTACTTTCCAGTCCTTGAATTCAAAGCCAGATTTTTCAAATCAGGACAGTCCTCCTGTGGGCAGCAGAGAGCTCAGACAGGGCCTTGGAGTCTGGACAGGAAAGCGGACGGGTGCAGTCCCCATGGGCACCGGGAGCTCCCTGGGGACCTGGTGACCTCCAGCAGCTGGGACCACCCTGCTGCCTCCTAAGTGCTGTGGGAAGGGCAGGCGGCCAGCTGTGCTGCTGAGACCCAGCTCCTCAGAGGGACGGGACGAGGCTGTGACTACAGGCAGGACAGGACGCACTGTTTGGTCCAGGGAAGCGCTCAGTGAGCCAAGAGGGAGGATGTTCTGTGCTTCATGGTGAGAAGGAGGCTGTGTGGCGGTTACAAGCACAGGTGCTGGGCTTCAAACCCCACTCTATCACTCACCAGCTGTGTGGCTTTGGGAAAGTTACCACACCTTCCTGTGCTTCAGTTTCCTCATCTGTGAAGGTGGCACTAATGGCCTGGGTTGTTGTGAGAATAATGAGGAAATGCAGACAGCAAAGGTCACCACCAGAAGGGCCTCGGGACCTCTGGGCAGCAGCGCCCTCTGGCGGTAAGCCTCGCACTGCCTCCTGCAGGTGAGCCCCTCTGCCAGGGGGGCTGGGGGCCCTCTGGTGACACTGGGCCTCCAGAAGGAGGCTGCCCACCCTCTGGCCTGTAGGGCCTGGCTCTGCTGTCGGCGCTTCTGGACAGGAAGGGAAGGAAAAGTTCTCAGGCTCCAGGCACGGCCAGAGGAGAGAGCAGTTCTGACCCGGCACAGGGATGAAGTCACCTGATGCCAACAGCTACCGCTGTCAGGCCTGCGAGCCAAGGGCTTTCCGGCCGGCTCCTTGTCTAGTCCTCCCAAGACCACGGCCAGGCTAGGGCTCTGGTGCCGCCGTCCCACAGAGGGAACTGGGTACAGACAGGTCAGTGACCGCCCAACAGCAGAGCTGCCAGCACGGGAGCTGGAGGCGAGCCCAGGCCTGTGGACCAGAAAACCAGTGCAAAACCCACCCTCCTGCGCCATACAGAGCAAAAGTGAGTGTTGTTGCCTGCCGAGATCCCTGCCTCACACACACACACACACACACACACTCACACTCAGACACACACTAACACACACTGGTCATAAGTCCACAGCAGCCCGGTTGGCCAGGCTTAAAACAACACAAATTTGTTCTCTCAGTTCTGGAGGTCAGAAATCGAAAACCAAAGTGTCAGCAAGGCTGGTTCCTTCTGGAGATTTCAGAGGAGAATGTGTCTTCTCTCTGCAGGTCACCCCCTTCTCTGGGATAATCCAAGGGGGTCTCCAGGAGGGACTTGAGATCACTGTCCGTGGAACTGTTTTACCCTCCAGTGGAACCAGGTACCTGGAACTCTTGTTTCTCTGCAGCCTCGCCCCTTAGCAACCCATGGTGCCTGTCAGCTCAGGATGGTTCACCCAGCACCCTCTGAGCTGCCTGCACCTGGACATGCCAGATGAGTAGGACCCGGCCCTTGCCAACACTGAATGGCACCACTGCCGTCTGCCAATAGCGTGCTGGCACCATTAACATAGAGTCCCCGTAGACATAGGGATGACGGGAGCTCGCAGCCTAAGGAGAGAAGCGGGCAAGCCCAGAGGCAGGCGATCATGTTACAGGGTTGAACTCTGCGCACTCTGACCCAGAAGAGCAAGATCTCCCTTCCTCTGTTTCCCGAAACTGCCCTCATCTTTGGAACCCTCATTCAGCTAATGTTCAAACATTTAAAGTTGCCATCAAATGTAATTTGATGAAAATTCTCATGCCAGGAGAGCTCATATTTGCTCGACACCTCCTATTGTATCTCATTTTATTTCCTTTTTATTTTATTTTAGTTTTTAGTCATGCCTCCCCTTTTAGACCCTGTGTTTGTAGGTATATTCCCATCAATTCCACCTGTGCTTTGAATTTCTTCTCTTCTTTCCCAGTTGAGCAGACATGGGTACACCTCCAACCAGTGTCCACTTGGTGCCGAAGGCTCTTTTAGGCACTTTTCCCATTTCTGTCTTTGACATGAATTTTTAATTAGTGTCCAAGACCTATGCTTCTTGCTGGTGGGATCAACAATTTACCCAATTTGTACTTATTTTTAGGAAAATCACACTGTGAAGGAAAAATGCAATAATTGTACAAAAACACACTAAGCGCTACATGGTAACGAGAGTGACAACAGACTGACGATCGCCAGTCACCTGCAAGTTCCCAGAGAGACACCCGTCAAAGTCGATCGAGGCTCCCCCGTTCCTGCCATTGGTGTAAACCAGGCTACAGGTGACTCTCTGATTTCCCTCGTCTAGGTTTGCTGTGAACTTTCAGACAGGCCGCAGTGACGATGACATTGCCTTCCACTTCAACCCACGGTTTGAAGAGGGCGGGTCTGTGGTCTGCAACACAAAGAAGAAAGGACTCTGGGGGCTGGAGGAGAAGAAGACACACCTGCCCTTTCAGAGGGGGAGTCCCTTTGAGCTCAGCTTCCTGGTGCTGAGCTCATGTTTCCAGGTGAGCAAGAACTCTGCCCCGCTCCCTCCCGCTGCCCGTCTCCTCAGAGCTAACAGACCTGGGGAAGAGCCTTTAAATAACCACACGCATTGAGATCTGGCTGAGTAACGCCATAGACAGATGACAGGACCATTTCCTTTAAGGGTGTTACTGATGGCTGCAGGCTCCTTACACACCTTCACCGGCTCTTCCAGGAGCACCTATTGCTTCTTTTACTCAGGGGCTAAGAACCAGACAAGTCACCATGGACTTTTTTGGCCTCCTGGGGCTTTAAAATCTGAGTTCATTCCGTTCTTCTGCTGTAGTCATTGGTCCATCCAAGTCCCTGAGAACATTTGTTTTTTTGGCCATATTGTTGCAAGCTTTATCCAGGTTCTAGTAATGGCTAGCAAGGCATTGCAAATTGCTTTTGCTAGCAGAGTTCCGTCTCTGGGCTTAGGAAGATGGGTAGAGATGAGTATATCGGTGTCCACGCATCTCTGTGAAGGTGCATGTTCCCATCCCTGCCATATGCAGCCTGAGGTCGCCTCTCCTCTGTTCCCTATGAACATTTTTATGCATATTTAAATAACACCCAGGGGAGCTATGATTAGACAGAAAACAGACTGCAATAAACAACCATAAGAACTAAAAAGCCAACAAGGAGAGCCAAGCAGAGATTGAGGTTGGATCACAGGCATGTTCCTGTAACTGACACAGCTCTGGAGCCCGGTGCCCCTGACCTACAACGCATGGATGGTCTTAGTTTCTAGAAGCAGGGGTCCCGGAGGCCCAGGTGTGCTCCCCGCCCTGGCCTGGGACCCCTCTCCTGGAACATGCGTTCAACTTGGCAGGTGATGTTGAATGGGAGCCTCTTTGTGCAGTACCCACACCGTGTGCCCTTCCACCACGTGGACACCCTCTCTGTCACCGGCGCTGTGCAGCTGTCCTCCATCAGCTTCCAGGTCAGATGGTCCACCTGGCACCTGTCCCAGGGGCTCGGGGCAGGCTCAGTCTAGCTGTGTCTAGGCCCTGTTGGGTGAGTCCAAACCCCACTTGTGACTCTGGGGACACATCTTCAGTTCTCGTGTCTCATGCTTCTTGTGTCACTGTCTCTGTCTGGAACCTGTGCTTCAGTCTCCAGATTCCTAGTCCACTCCTCTCTGTCACTCTCTATTTCCACTCTGGTTAGGAGGCCGTGTGGGTCCAGAAAGAACCAGGCTTGAGAGTCCAACTGAATCCAGCTCAGATCCCAGCTCTGCCATCCTCATTGGCTGTGGGATCTTACACAAGCGACTTGGCCTCTCCCGGCCTCAGTTTCCTCATCTGTGGAAGGGGCATAGTTGCTGCTGCCCCTCGAGGTTTTGTGTGAGTTCATGGGGCAATAAATGTCAGAGGCTACAAAATGGACCACATGGGACTATACCAGGGTCTACTTGGCCTTCTCTGTGTTTTAAAATTTTTGTACATTTTGCCAGCGTTTAAAAGGTCAGAGCAAGTTATGCGATCTGAGAAAGTTGTCCAGGCAGGATCGTGGCGGTGCTTACCCATCAATGTGAATAGACTTAGAGCCACTGAACTCTAAACTTAAAAATGGTTAAGATGGTAGGCTTTATGTGTATTTTACCTCAATTCTTAAAAAAATGTCAGGAAATAGCACATGGAAACCTTGATTTCTGGCCTTTCATGAAAACTGAGAGGACTGGGGTGTGCTGGGCCCACATTCCCGCAGGGCCCCCGGAGGCTGGACTGGAGCTGTTGTTACCACTTTCGGTACTGAGTATGCTCCTGAGACGGGGACAACACACAGAGGCCCTGGAAAAATACGAGCTCATCTCTCTTACTTCCTCACCTCTCTTATTTCTCCCTACCCAATTGTCTCCCCTACAGGGTAGGAGGAGAGAGAAGGAGAGAGATGGAGACAGAGAGAGAAAAGGAGGGTGAGAGGAGAGAGAGAAAAAGAGAAAGGTATATATATAGAGAGAGAGAGGGCACCATCCTGCTGTCACCTCCTGGAGCCTAATCATCCCCACTGCCCCTCCACGTGGTCCTGAGCACCCTCCCGCCCCCCACCTGCCTGACTCTCTCCCTCTGAGCTCAGTCCCTGCCTTTCCACTCTTCCTTGGCTTCATTAATGCTTCTCTTCACCCCTGGTGCCTTTTACTTTAACAGAACACCCGCGCAGCCCTGTCCCGCCTGCCTTCTGCACGAGGCAGTTCTCCCAGGCTGCCCATTTCCCACACAAACCCAATGGGCACAAACCCCAAGTGAGTTAAACAAGGAAAGTCCGGGAAGTGGAGCAGTTAGCAGGAAGGTCAGAGGGTCCCAGGGGCTGGCTCCGGCCAGCAGGCCAGCCAGGGCCTAGGGCCCCACCAAAGGTTGCTTGTCTCCCTCGACCAGGCACCCACAGCCGGGACCTGGGAGTCGTTCTGGTTCTTTCCTCCCTCCCCTAATCTTTCTCCAGGGCACCAACGCCTCTCCCTCCCACAGCCACTGCCCTGGTCCAGGCCCCCTGACCCCACGTCACGAGGACCGTGGTCTAGTTCCCACTCCCCTCACACCCTCCCACTGCGGCAGTGACCTTCCTGTAAGCAAATCTGGTCACATCCTCTCCCTGCTTAGAAATCCTGAGGGCCCATGTCCTTTTAAACAAAGGCAAACTCCCCAGCAGGACATGCCACATCCTCCCCCGTCTGGCCCCAGGGCAGCGCCCGGCCTCAGCCCTCCCCATGAAGCTCACACAGCCTCCACTGCTCACTCAAGGCTCTATGGGGCCACCAGGTTTCTGAACATGCTGTCCCGGGGCTGAAAGCACCATTTGCCACCTCACCTGCTACCAACGCCTAAAGGCCCTTCAGTGCTCTGCTGAAATGTCACTCCTCACGGGCATGTTCTCTGGATGGAGGAAAGCTGGATGACTCTCCGTCACTGCGTCTCCATAGACTTTGCATGTCACTGTACAATGACCACATCCCCGTGTAACTGTGCTTCCGTGTCTGTCCCCGTCACTCCACCCACTCCTTCCCTCCACCCCTGAGCCTTGAAGGCTGGGACTGTGGCTTGCTCAGTGTGTATCCCTAGCACTCTGCACAGTGCCGGGCACACAGGAGGCACCGGGTAAGTGAATGTGGATTGCGGTTTGCACGGGCAGTAGAAGAGGAAACCATTCAGGGCAAGAAGATCAGTCAGCTCAGGGGCACAGGGTTGAGGACAGGAAGGGGAGCAGGGCCCGGCCCCCCCTTTGGTCCCAGAGCAGTGGGGGCAGGGAAAGGGGTGTCTGTCCACCCAGCCCTCCTGTGGCCCACCGCAGTCCAGCTCTGGCACCTGCCTCCTACCACACTGACTGCAGGACTGGTGGGGCTCCAGGGAGCCCTTGCAGGGCAGCCTCACTTGGGCCCTGGGCTGGGGAGGACAGGGTGGGTGGACACAACCACACAGAACTGGGCACCATTTTGGACTTTATCACTTGCTCCCTGGGCAAGCTTAGGCAAGTTGCTTAACCCTCCTGAGCCTGATTGCCTCACTAGTGGAACAGGAGCTAAGCTTGCCTCCCTCAGAGAGCACTGCAGCCCGAGCCTGGCACACCACAGGCCCTCTGTAAATGCTAGTCCTCACCTTCTGCATGAAATATGGCCCTGGAAGCAATGGGAGCTGAGGGAAGCTGGCTGGTCTGCATCGAACAGGTCCTCCTCTCCTTCTGGAGGCGCCAATGGGGATGTTCCCCTCCTCCAACCCTGGCCCCGCCCCTTCCTAAGCACAGTGAACCTGGGAGGGCGGGGAGATCTGGGGCCTCAGGCTCAGGAAGGCTGATGGGAGCAGGAAGGAGGCGAGGGCCAGTCAGGAGGGCATTTCTGACCTCAGTCTCTGCCATGGTCTCACCCTCGTGTGGCACCGAGGTTCACCGCTGTTTTGATTTCCTCATCCTGTTCGTCTCCAGGGATCAGGGCGACCAACCCTGCTCCCCCATATCCAGCCTGTTGCTCTCTCTTCGGAGCCTCTTCATTTTGGTTCTTCCTGTGGGTGCAAAGGAGGAGGCAGGGCAGGGCATCAGTCGTGTCCCTTAGGGACAGTGAGGCAGAGCCCCTAACCAATTGCCTGGCTAAGTGGTGGGGGGAGGGAGTTGGGTGACCCTGATGAATTGGGAAACACCCAGAACTCACTTCTTGGCTCAGTCCTCTGCCACTGTGGGCAGCCACAGAATACCGAGGCCCCACCTTCCATCCTCCTGCCAAGTGAGGCTGTGCTAGAGAAACTCCACTGAGAAGAAAAGTGGGCCAGAGGCTACAGTGCAGCCATATTTCTTCTCCAGAGGAAACTTTTGCCCCTCCCTCATCCCCTGAGAGAGGAAATACCCCTATCCTCCAATTTTGGGGGTCTGGTTGGGGCCATAGGGCCGGTTACCCCCTCAGGATTAACTGACTTCAGATATTGTGTTATGTGGTGCCCTCTGGTGGCAGGTGGTGGTCTCCATGCTGGGGAGGGCTGCTTAAAACCTGGGTTTCTTTCTTCCAGAAGCAAACAATGATCCACAGGGAGCTGAGCGCCCCTCAACAGATGTCAGAGGTGAGTCTGAAAGCTCTGGTCAGATCACAGCCTCAGGCGTCCCCCTTCCCCAAGGGCTGAGTTCTCTAGTCCGAGTCACGAAGAAAGCAGTTTAGCAAGGGAATGGGGACATGGGGGCCGGGCCTCTGCTCAGAAGACAGAGAATGAAACTCTCCTGGGGACAGCAGATTCTGGAGGTGGCTAGACTGACCCAGTGGCCCCAGAGGCAGGTCCTTTCGGCACCAGCAGGAAATCGGCTCCTTCTGTCATTGAGAGGGAGTGCAGTGGTCCAGCATGTGGAGAGGAGGCCCTGCATCCCGAGGACGAACCCCAGGATGTCCCTGCTGCTCACAGGATGGAGCTGCTGCTCCTCCTCCTGCCAGTGCACATCAGACGGGAGGCCTGGAGTCAGTGGGGCTGCCCTGGGTGGAGGGGCAGGTGACATTTATGGGGTCCAGGACATGGCAGGAAGTCCTGCCAAGACTGACATGAGAACGAAGGTGACAGAGAATCCAAGGGCTGAAGCCTCCCGACCTCAGTGTCACATTGGAGCATCCCCGCTCGACTGTGTGGGGTTCGTGTGTGTGTCACGCCCACATGAATTATCCGCTTTCAACAGAATCCCACCTTCCCTCCTATGGGCTATCCCAACCCAGCCTACATAACTGTGTTCTCAGGGTGTGTAGAGGTTTTCTCTGCGTTGGGCAGGGTGGGAGACGAAGAGCAGTGCCAGCAGTGAAGCAGTCCTCCAGGAAGCTGAGGTTCCTAAAAACACCCAAGTAAACGAGAAGACTCTTGACAGGAGCTTCACTTTTAACATCGTCCCTTCACTGTGAGCATAGGAAGTGGCCTTCCCTTCTCAGCCCAAGTGTCCTTCTATGTCCGGCTAAAGATCTTTTTGCAACAGTTTAAGCTCATTCATTTGAAGAAGGCTGGTAAGTTTTCATCTGGCATTTACTGAATTAAGAAACGATATCATGGAGTTCTTTCTTGAAAATATGTTACTCACAGGCACGGTTGTCAAACTCAGTTGACTGTCCAAATTCATGGAAATTGGGACAAAGTGCCCCCTGCCATGGTGGCTGCTCTGGCTGCCGCTGGCTGACCCTTCCCTCTCCTCCCAACAGATGAATCCATTCTACACCTGCATCCCGGGTGGCCTGTACCCCTCCAGGAGAATCATTGTGTCGGGCACCATCCTGCCCAACGCTCAATGGTAAGCTAGGGCTCTCGGGGAGGAGAGAGACAGCCCAGGGTCATTCTGGCCATCGCCCTGGCTCTGGGCGGGCTGGGGAGGGGCAGGGACCCGGAGCTCAGTGGTTAGAGGAGGTCCATGTGAGCTGTCCACCCCCAGGTTCCGCATCAACCTGCGCTCTGGGAGTGACATCGCCTTCCACTTGAACCCCCGTTTCAATGAGAACTCTGTGGTCCGCAACTCACTGATCAACGGCTCTTGGGGGCATGAGGAGAGAAGTCTGTGGGGACCAATGCCCTTCATCCAAGGCCAGAGCTTCACGGTAAACTGCCCCAGCCCGCAGCTCAGAGCGGCTCACATGGGGCAAATGGAGCAGGAGAGGGGGCATTGGGGGTCCCGCGAACAAGATGGGAGCTGATGCCTCTGGGGTGAGGGCTGTGCACAGAATAAGAAAAAGTGTTCAACAAATTGTTGCCATTATTTTCCTGTTACTGTCCCACATGGGGCAGGTGGTGCTATCTGCTGTTTACAGATGAGGAAACAGACTCACAAGTGCAGGTTACTGGCCTGAGGTCACACAGCGATAAGTGCCAGGTGGAGCCCAAGAAGGAGGTGTCCTCCCTTTATTCACTCACTCACTCATTCATTCCACAATCATTTCAGCTATTCTATCAGACCTACTTTGTGCAGGAAGCACCCCGGGTGCTGGGGGTACAGCATGGAGAGGACAGACGAGGTCCTGCCCCACGGAGTCAGCGGTTTAGGAGGCAGACGAAGCAGGACACAAACGGCATGGACAGACCCTTGCTGATAAGAACAGGTGCTCTGCAGAAAGCAAACAGAATAGAGGGATAGAGTGAGCCCCGGGGCAGGGTCCACGCTGCCTTAGACTTGACAGCTCTCCGAGGAGGCCACTGTGCCCTTGAGACCCCAGTGGCAGAAGGAGCTGCCTCGCAAAGATCTGCGGGTGTGTTGGGGCAGGCAGCTGAGGGAGCCACTGTTACTGCAGAGGCAGAGTCCTGGGCGTGGCCTGTCTGGGACCATGGGGCGGGGGCTCCCAGGTGGACAGTGAGGACAGAGAGGTGTGGCTGTGGCGGCTGAGGCCTGCCTCACACAGAGCAGGTGTCCTCAGCCCCGACCACATAGTCAAATCCCCAGGAGCTTAAAGAAGGGAAGTCAATGCCTGGGCCGGTACAGGCCAACGTGGGGGTGAGCCTGGGCCTCTGTATTTGTAAATCTGCCCTGATGCTCCTCCCCCAGGGTTGAAATGATTGATGTCGGGCTGTGAGGACCACGGAAGGGAGTTGGGATTTTAATACAGTGTGTTGGTGTGTTTCAAGCCAGGGGGACACTATACTTTGATTTCTAGATAGCTGGGTGACTGTGAGCAAGTGACTTAACTGTGCCTCAGTTTCCTCATCTAAAAATGGGCTAATAGTAACATCAATCTCATAGACATGTAAGAATGAAATGATATTTGTGTTTATAACATGCTTAGGACAGTGCCTGGTGTGCATGTGTGCAAGTGTCAGCTATTGCAATGGGGATGATGACATTTTCACAGACGTGCTCCGAGGGCCTCCAGGAGAAAGTTTGGGGTGGAAAAGACAGGTTAGGAGGCTGGCGCTGCAGGAGTGCAGGCACAGAGCCCTCCTGTGCGCCAGGTTCTGGGGACAAGGACGGACAAGCCAGCGTTTCTGCCCTGGAGGCTCAGGGTCCAGTTGGAGAATGAGGATGGGGTGGGAGACATGGCCTGAAGGGGCTCCTGACTCAACTAGCGGGGCGACAGGAGGTGGGGAAGGCAACGAGGGCTCGCCTTCCTGGAGGGAGGGGGAGAATCCTGAAGGGTGAGGAGCAGTCACCCGTGTGGGTTAGGAGAACAGAGTTGGGAGCACAGGAGGAAGGGCAGTCTTGGTGGTGGGAACAGAATAAGCAAAATTACAGGGGCTAGAGAGCCCGGGGCGGGTTGAGTAAAGAAGGGATCCTTCAGAGCTGCTAGAAGGCAGGTGTGGGGTCTGCTTGATTAAGGTGCCAGGAAGGCAGGAGGGAGGGAGGGAGACACAAGCCTGCCTTTAGTCCTGAGGACTTTCCAAGTGAGTGCAAATGACGTGGCCTCTGTGTCCAGGTGCGCATCACGCGTAAAGCCCACTACTTCAGGGTGGCCGTGAATGGAGTGCACAAGTTTGACTACAACCACCGCATGAAGAACTTTTGCGCCATCAACGTCCTGGATGTAGCGGGTCACATCCGGCTGACCCATGTGCAGTTATAGGCGGGATCCCTGGCCTGGGCTCGAGGGCTGGGGCACGTTGCAGTCTGGATCTGCTCATCACCTCCACCTTCCCCGTCCCTGCCCCAGCCCCAACCCTGCCCAGCCTGCCGAGGGTCTCTTTCCTGGGGAGACCACGCCCTTGTCTGGCCCTGCTGAGGCTGCAGCCAGCCTGGAGTGCCTAGGGCAGCTGGCTGGGAACGCTTTGCTCAGTAGGGGCAGGACCAGGGGCTCCAGCTGCCCAAATCCCTCCCTCCAAGGAGAGGGGTGGTCCACACAGGCTGCAGCCCCAGGTTCAGTCCCCTGAGCAGTAAGGGAGGGTGCTGGGCCTTCCCAAGCACCCGACCCAGGCCCACACCCCGTCTGCCTCTCAGCTGCATCCCCAGCCCTTTCAGCTCCAGTCAGTCCCAGGCCAGCAGCTCTTCACTCCCCAGGGGAGGCGGTCTCCTCGGCCCCTCCCTGTCTCCCAGCTTCAGCCTCTCCTGCACCTGCACCAGCCCTTCCCCTGTGCCGGGAAAGCTCCCTGATGACACCCCGCTGGTTTCCTCCAACTGATGGGACCCTTAATCCAGGGGGCTCTCCCCTCTCCGTGTCCTTCAAAGAAATAAAGAAAAAGGCTTGTTGGCACACATACAGGCTGGTTGTGGTTTATTAAAAGACAGTTTGGAGCCTCTGGAATTGGAGGATCCTGGCTGAGGGGAGTGGGAGGAGACAGTGTGGGCTCATTTTGATGGGGGGTGGGACCTGACATCCACACCTGCTCCTAGTGGGTCCCCCACAAACCCCTCAAGGGTGCGGGAGAAAGCAGGCTGGGCTCAGGCTCTTGGGCAGGAATCTCTGAGGCAGGAAGCTGGGGAACAGAGGTGAACCCAGGAAAC